TAGGGAAACATGAATTTATAACTTTCTTGTTATTGCTAATGCATAGAAGTAAACATAGTATAAATAATAGAGTATAATGTTTTTTGTAATGGATTCTTTGTATATATCATTCACTTTATTTAGTGTCTCTTGTGACTACCCTTTTACTAAATTTTATAGGTGTTGACTTATTACCTAATGGGTTATTTTCACATTTTAAGATTGCTTGGAATAGTCTTAGAGAAGATTCATATTTTCAGTATTAGCTGTCTTATATACATATTTATGTGTCTGAAATAAATATAGTATTTCAGTATTTTTTGTTAATTGCTAAAGGCAGGTGAGGCTTCTCAAACAGAAACCGTGTCAGAAGAAAACAAAAGCCTTATCTGGACACTACTGAAACAAGTCCGTCCTGGCATGGACCTATCCAGGGTGGTTCTGCCTACATTTATTTTGGAACCCCGTTCTTTCCTGGATAAACTTTCAGATTACTACTATCATGCAGATTTCCTATCTGAGTAAGTAAATTCTCATTTCTTAAAATAAAAGATACTTCATGGTTTTCGAGTTTTTCAGAGTGCTGATTTCAGTGGTAATGCTGTACCAAAATCAGGCTCAAATGAGATACCACCCTCTCTTCTCCACCACTTCTGTAGTTGACCTTAATAAGAAGCAGGTTTAATACTTTGCTGTAATGTTTCCATTTATGAGGTCAAATGGAGAAATCTCAAGCTTGAGGAAGACAGGAATTCTGCCCCTGCCTTGACAGCACTGCCATCACAGGCTCCCTGACCTGTGCATTGACCTAACACAGGGAGAGCTGGTTGGCATTCTTGGTTCTCCCCAACCTAAGTCCTCCTTCAGGTCCCATCCTGGGGCTTCTGCTTTTGTTTGTGCTTATCCTCTCTGCATGCAGTGAGGCATGTGCAGCTTATCACAACTGGAACATCCTACTAACTGCTGGCACATGGCATAAATCCCGACTCTCACCTTTGCTTTTCTTCCTGCCAGCTGATCCTGGGGGTAATTCTGAAGAAGGCAGGCTTAAGGGAGGTGGAGGAGGAGCTGCCTACCTCTTTCCCAGCAGTTTCTTGGACAATCATACTTTTCCAGGTTTCACTTACTGCCCCCATTCCAGCAGCAGTTTCAAGGCGCTGTGTTTTCTAAGATACTAGGTTCTGGCCCTGTGACCTGATTTTTAGATTCTTCATTAATACCTGTATTCAGTTTATTCATTGCATTATTAGTCTATTAGCTGCATTAATGAACATTGCAAAAAAAGAAAAAACAAGCTGATTCAAAGGATAATTTGTAAACTGTGGGAGATTTTTGCAAATTAAGTCATAAATGAAGTGTTAAGCTCCCTAAAATAAAAAGGGCTCTTTTTATTTTAGTGAATGAAAAGAAATTCTTAGTGAATGAAAATGATCAATAACCTAACAGAAAAAGAAGTGGAGGAAATGACCCAGCAGTTTAAAAATGAAGTAATAAAAATAGTCCTTAAACATGTAAACTTCACTTAAAATAAGAAAAGTGCAAATTCAAACCATAATAAGATCTATTTTCCATCCATCACTTTGACCAAAAATCTAGATGCTTTTATACCCCAGTTCTGCTTTCTTTTATCTATCTAGAAATGTATTTCCCTCAGAATATGAGGTAGGTTCCTATGAATCACAGTAAGATCTTGAGAGATGACCATTTTCCCAAATTGAAAGGTTGCACTTCTGGCAACACACACTGTTGCCAAGGTTGTGTGGCACTCATAGACTGCTGCTGGGTCATACAAACTAGCACAGTGCATTAGAAAGGCATCTGGCAGTATCTACCAAAATTATAAATGTATTCAATCCTACTGATCCTCAGTAATCCTGCTTCTGGGAATATCTCCTAGAGATACAACTCCACATGTACAAAGTGACATATATACAAAATTGTTGCAGCAGGGTTTGGAACAGCAAAAGGTTAGATAACTCAAGTGTCCAGCCACAGTTGACTGGTTAAGTAATGTATGGTACATCCATACTGAGGAAGAACTCTATAAAATGATTTGGAGGGATCTTCAGGAGAGAGAGAGAGAGAGAGAGAGAGAGAGAGAGAGAGAGAGAGTGTGTGTGTGTGTGTGTGTGTGTGTGTAAAAAAAAAGCAAGATACAGAAGAATGCATTTAGTTTGTTCCCCTTTTTTTAAGAAAAAACTACATATTTGGGACTTCCCTGGTGGCACAGTGGTTAAGAATCCACCTGCTAGTGCAGAGGATACAGGTTCGATCCCTGGTCCAGGAAGGTCCCACATGCCGCAGAGCGACTAAGCCTGTGAGCTACAACTACTGAGCCTGCACTTGAGAGCCCACGAACCACAACTCCTGAGCCCCCGTGCTGAAGCTACTGAAGTCCATGTGCTTAAAGCCCATGCTCCACAACAAGAGAAGCCATCGCTCCGAGAAGCCCACGCACCACAATGAAGACCAACACAGCCAAAGAAAAAAAAGACTACATATTTATATTTGCTTCTTTATACTTCAAGGAAACTATATAAAAAGAAGCAACTAGGGACTTCCCTGGCAGTCCAGTGGTTAATACTCTGTGCTTCCACTGCAGGGGGCGCGGGTTAGATCCCTGGTTGATCCCTGGTCGGGGCACTAAGATCCCATATGCCGCGTGGTGCGGCCAAAGCAAAAAGAAGCAGCTAAAAAAAAAAGTTGCCTATGGGAGGTTAAGAAGGAAGAGTATGGAGAGATGGGGCTATAGCAAGACAGTGTACTTCTCTATATTGCTTTAAGTTTTAAACTGTGCATTCTACATACATGTAAAGCTGTAAATAAATAGTGTAGTAAGAGAATTTAAACCAAGAAAAGAAGAGAGCAATCAGAGGGATGTTAGCTCCCGAAAAGTTCAGTATTTTCAACTTGGCACAGTTGTCAGCGAGCCTAGGCCTAGCCTCTTCCATCTCACACTTCATCTTCAAAAATCACCACATTGGACCTTCAGACATGCTTGAAGGGAGTAATATAAATAAATTGCCATATATACATATATATATATATATATATATATATATATATATATATATATATATATATATATAAAAACTCAGAATTCACCTGAAAAACACAATCAGTGTTTTGCAATGTTCATAGCATTAGCAGAAGGGCAAGGGGACAGGTGAGTCATGGCTTTTGAAAATGCCTGTTTTAAAATGAAAATTATTCTTTGATTATCTGTTATATTTGTACAGTTAGTTCACTCTGGAAAATCAGTTGGTAGCACATAGGGGAGGTTGAAGGCTAAAGATGGGGTTAAAATGGGCAGAAAAGTAACCAGATTATGAAAAGTGATTCTTGCAAACTGATTTATATGGTTGTTTTTGCCATCTATTTTGAAAATGAATTATGCTTTCCAGTCATATCTCATATTCAATTGTTGACTTGATTAATATGAGGGAGAATTTGTGATATATTCTGTAAAATTTTTGCATATATCATTTTATTTTTTAGGGCTGCTCTTGAAGAAAATCCTTATTTCCGTTTGAAGAAAGTAGTAAAATGGTATTTGTCAGGATTCTATAAAAAGCCAAAGGTAATGTTTGTTTTACTTTCTATAGCCTTATATGTGTTCTTTATTCTTTATGTTATCTTTAGATTATTTATTAATAATTGCATTGCAGGGCCTCTTTCAGTTAGCAGAATTGCAAAATACTTGGTTATTTAGACCTGTATTATGATTGAAGTCATTTAATTTTATTTCATGTCACTACTGGGAAATTTTATAAGGCTAGTTCCCAGATGATACAGTTAAGCCTATCTTGACTGGTTTAAGTTAGTACTTTGAATCTTCCATATTTATAATTTGAAACTTGTATGTTTTTTACTAGGGACTGAAGAAACCTTATAATCCTATACTTGGTGAGACTTTCCGTTGTTTGTGGATTCATCCCAGAACAAACAGCAAAACTTTTTATATTGCTGAACAGGTATTAGAAATCCATGTTATAGAAATAATACTGATTTGGAAGTTATTCAGATTTTTTTAATAGAAAATGTTAACTCAGTAAACTCACTGTTGATTATAACCTTTCTTATTAGCGAACATTTGGTAAGATTTTAACCTCTTGGTACTGACTACTACTAAATACCATACTCTTAAGCTACATACTCTCTTACAGTCATGGAATCCTACGATAAAAAATAAATCTTTATTTTTATTGCTCTGCCCCCCTCCTTTTTTTGGACCAAATACTTCAGTGGTTCCCCAGTTCCTAAATCAGATTTACACCCATTTCTCTGACATTCAGGGTCCTCCATATCTTTCTAAATTTATCTGAAATTCCATGCCTTTTTAAGCCCTCCACAGATTCACAATTAGATAATCTGATATTGCACTTTTTGCCTCATTATTTTTAAATTTAATTCTCCCACCCTATTATATCTTCCCAGCTATTATTCATCTAAACAAATCCTGACCTGCTTACCTTTCATATACAGAATGTAAGGAGGATGAGAAGACTATGTGTTATTTGAAAAACCTTCCTCTTCCCAAGAGATTTTGATATACTCCTCAGATTGAAACCACTTATCTGTATTAATTTTTTTAAATTAATGATTATACTGTCTTGTATTTTAGTTCACTATAATTCTTCACTAAGTTGAGAAGCTTGAGAAGCGTTTGATTTTAGTTTTGTCTCATTTCAGAAAACATGATGTATACATTTTGCAATATTAATTATTAAAATATTTGTTAAAGCTTTTAGTTTCCTACAGTCTATTCAGTAATCTACATGAAGAATAGCCACTGTATTAGTTATTCATTGCTATATAACAAATTCAAAACTTAATGGCTTAAGACAACAAACATTTATTATCTCATGCAGTGATGTTCAGGAGTCTGAGAACTGTTTAGCTGGGTGGTCTGGCTCGGGATCTCTCCTGAGGTTGAGGTCAAGATGTCAGCCAGCTTTGCAATCATCTGAAGGCTTGCCTGGGCTGGAGGATTCTGCTTCCAAGCTCATCACATGGCTTTTGACAAGAGAACTCAGTTCCTTGTCACATGGGCCTCTCCATAGAGTTGTTCATAACATGGAAGCTGGCCTTTCAGAGCTAATGATCTTCGAGAGAGAGATACACACACACCAAAGTACATGCTGCATTATAACCTAATTTCAGAAGTGATATACTATTACTTCCACACAAACTAACTTTGGTACAGTGTAAGAGAAGCTCACCTTAACGGTGTGAATACCAGGAGGTGGGTTTCCTTCAGATACATCTTGGAGATTGGTTACTACAATCATCAATATTTAATTTTACTACTTACCAAATGTTTCTTTTAATTCATTATTAGAGTATGCTTTTAAGACTTGAACTTTTGATAATATCACAATAATATGCTTATATTATTATATTTTAATGTATTTTTCCTGTATTCAATAGGTGTCCCATCATCCACCAATATCTGCCTTTTACGTTAGTAACCGAAAAGATGGATTTTGCCTTAGTGGTAGTATCCTGGCTAAGTCCAAGTTCTATGGTGAGTTTACCCGCGTCTCAATCTATATGCTTTTCTGGGAGGTAGTATTTCCTGGTGAGCTTTTATACAGTGTCTTGGGCTGTTTTCAGCAAGGAATTTATATGTCATTTTATCATCTTTACTTGGGTAATGACCTTTCTTTTTCTGTTGTTTTTCTTTGCTCATTCATAAATAGAGATATGACTCATGTTATGTAAGTGTTCATCACATACGTGTAAATTTACCACAAACACCACTTATCAAAAGACAGAATAATGATTGCCCACTACAGCTAACCATTTTAGGCCATAATGTTTTGTTTTGTTTTAGTCTTTGAAAAGAGGAGAAAGAATCCAAATACAGTTAGAATACTTAGTCCAGGGTCAGTCAGTAATGATATTTAACCTTGGATCAAGTAACATACTAACAAAAACTTTTTTAAGTACAAGGGAAAATAAATATGTACAGTAGGAAACCTTAATCTAAAATCTGTGACAATTCAAACAAACAAATCATCCCTTGATGCTTGCTTTGTTTGGGTTTTGGTTTTGTTTTTTTTGCCTAGTTTTATATTTTGCTTGTTTCAGAGGGTGATCATTTTCTTCTGAAGGTTACGTATATTTGGGTTATTCCCTCCCCACTGAACCCTCCATCCCTCCATGCCCCTACCCTGACTATAGTTTAAATGGCTTTAGTGAATATGTGTTCTACCCTTGTGGAATTTTTATTGAATACCAGGTACATAGCTCACTTTCTGCAATTACTTCAGCAGCTAGCCTTCTTTTTTCTATGTTATAGTACATACAGTTGTGTATATCAGATCTGTTCCTTTATAATTTGAAAGAATTTACTAAATTCAAACTTTATAGGAACAATTTTTTGGTAACTTCCTCATTTCTTCCTTGGTTATTGACTTGCCCATGTAGAAACTTCTTGCTAGGAGAGTTTGATAGTTTATATTGTTTTAGGAATTAGTTCATTTTCTTGAATCTAAATTAAGTTAAATTTAATGACATCTAGGTAGAGTATATTCCTTTTAACAAGTAGTCTCTTGGCATTTTTTTTTTTTTTTTTTTTTTTTTTGTCTCACCGCTGTGGCCTCTCCCGCTGCGGAGCACAGGCTCCAGATGCGCAGGCTTAGCGGCCACGGCCCACGGGCCCAGCCACTCCGCAGCACATGGGATCCTTCCGGACTGGGGCACGAACCCGCATCCCCTGCATCGGCAGGCGGACTCTCAACCACTGCGCCACCAGGGAAGCCCTCTCTTGACATTTTGATGTACTAAATTATCAGTTTTTCCTTTGATGGTTTTTGCTTTTGATGTCACAATTAGAAAACCCTTTCTCACTTCAGCTTATATAATAATTTGCTCACATGTTCTCATATTTTTATGCTTTCACTGCTCTTTAGTTTGCCTGAAATTTATTTCTTTGTATATAGTGTGTATGAAGTGAAGCAAGATCACAACTTTCTCTTCCCAAAAGCCAATAAATTTTCTCAGTATTTGGTTTATTTATCACTGGTTTTTAATGCCATTATTTTCTATTTCAAGGGCTATCTTCTTGGATCTAAGGATCTGTTTTTTCTTGTACCACTAGTCTTTGCCCTAAGAACCATTCATTTTTAAATGGCTTTCTGATATTCTGCAGAGCAGATAAAATATAGGTACTTAGTCACTTTGCTATGGGGTGAATAATTTATCATCATTTGGGAGAACTACTCTTGTTTTTCAAACGGTATGCATAAACCATCAATTTCATGATCAGAGTATCAGTTAAAATTTTGGAGTCCTGAGTCCCAATCTTGACTTACCAAATCAAAATCACTGGGCTCAAGTATATTCTTTTTAAATATAAATTTATTTATATTATTTATTTTATTTTTGGTTGCGTTGCGTCTTTGTTGCTGCGCACGGGCTTTTCTCTAGTTTGGCGAGCAGGGGCTACTCTTTGTTGTGACGCGTGGGCTTCTCACTGTGGTGGCCTCTCTTGTTGCATAGCATGGACTCTGAGCACACAGGCTTCAGTAGTTGCGGCACATGGGCTCAGTAGTTGTGGCTCGTGGGCTCTAGAGCGCAGGCTCAGTAGTTGTGGTGCATGGGCTTAGTTGCTCTGTGGTATGTGGGATCTTCCCAGACCAGGGCTCGAACCCCTGTCCCCTGTATTGGCAGGCAGATTCTTAACCACTGTGCCACCAGGGAAGCCCAAGAATATACATTTTTACAATCTCCTCAGGTAATTCTAATGTGCAGTAAAATCTGAAATGGCTTATGATATAATGTTAAGTGAAAAGCAGAGTACATATATGCTCTGAGTCAACTCTGCTTTAAAATATGTATACATTCATATATAGGAAAAAAAGATGCAAGGAATTATATCAAGATTTCATGATTAACCTGAATGATGGAATTATGGGTAATTATCGTTGGATTTTTCAACTTTCCCACAAAGAGCAAGTATTTCCTTTAAAATAAGAGAACATTCAGTTATTTTAAGATATAGTATGGTTATGAATACTATATAATAAGAGAGAAATGATTTTATGGTATACCAATACATGTATAATGTTGGATACAAAAATCTATGTGGTTTTACTGTGTTAAGAATGTATGTGAACAACAATGTCTGAATAAGGTCCTACTAGACCAGTCCTTCTCCTCTGGACATCTGGCCCTAATACAGAAAGCAGCTATTAATACGTGAAAACATTCAAGAGAGCAATTGCAGGCCAATTCAGTGGGAAGTCCACAGTCATACAACAGAAATTATACAGAATGAATCCTTGTTTCCGTGACTTTCAGCCTCAGGTCAGGTACAGTTAGCAGGGTAAACTGGTGGAAACATTGCAGCCTTTCTGACCTGGGGAACCAAACACTAAATTTGGTGAAACTGTGGCCACTGGACAGAGAACAGGAACCTGAAAAGTAAAAGAGCCAGAGAGGGGATCCTGAATTCTCTCTGCCTACCTCTCTGGCTAAATCCAGAACAAAACTGCCACCCAAAAAAAAAACCAAAGTTTGTAATTTGAGTCCAACCGAATAATTGCGTGCTAAAACAAAAGAACAACTTTCACTGGAGAAGAATAATAGAATTCAGAGTCTCTACGACTCAACATTTGTAATGTCCAGAATCGAATACAAAATTACCTAACTTAAAGACCCAGGAAAATGGAACATATTCTCAAAGGAAAAGAAAATCAACTGAGACAAACCCCAGGATATACTGTTGGAAGTAGCACACAAGGATTTTTAAGTGGCTAAAATAAGTGCCCTTAAATAAGTAAAAGAAAATGTGGTCACAGTGAATGAAAAAATTGTACAGCTCAGAAGAAAAGTAGAAATAGATATATTTCAAAAATTAAATAGAAATTCTAGAACTGAAAAATTCAGTATTTTAAATTAAAAATTCATAGAGTGAACTTTACAGCAGAGTGGAGATGATAGAGAAGAAAATAAGTGAACTTGTAAATAGATAAATAGAAATCCAATGTGGAAAACACAGAGAAAAATTATTTTAAAAAATGAACAGAGCCTCAGATATCTGTTATATAATATCACGTGGTCTAACATATGTGTTACTGGAGTCCCAGAAGGGAAGAGAAAATGGAACAGGAAAATAATGAATTGATGATGCTCAACATCACTAATCATTAGAGAAATGCAAATCAAAACTACAGTGAGGTATCACCTCACACCAGTCAGAATGGCCATCATCAAAAAATCTACAAACAATAAATGCTGGAGAGGGTGTGGAGAAAGGGAACCCTCTTGCACTGTTGGTGGGAATGTAAATTGATACAACCACTATGGAGAACAGTATGGTGGTTCCTTAAAAAACTAAAAATAGAACTACCATACAACCCAGCAATCCCACTACTGGGCATATACCCTGAGAAAACCGTAATTCAAAAAGAGTCATGTACCACAATGTTCATTGCAGCTGTATTCACAATAGCTAGGACATGGAAGCAACCTAAGTGTCCATCGACAGATGAATGGATATAGAAGATGTGGCACATATATACAATGGAATATTACTCAACCATAAAAAGAAACGAAACTGAGTTATTTGTAATGAGGTGGATGGACCTAGAATCTGTCATACAGAGTGAAGTAAGTCAGAAAGGGAAAAACAAATACCACATGCTAACACATATATATGGAATCTAAAAAAAAAAAAAAATTGGTTCTGAAGAAACTAGGGGCAGAACAGGAATAAAGATGCAGACGTAGAGAATGGACTTGAGGACACAGGGAGGGGGAAAGGTAAGCTGGGACGAAGTGAGAGAGTGGCATGGACATATATACACTACCAAATGTAAAATAGATAGCTAGTGGGAAGCAGCCGCATAGCACAGGGAGATCAGCTCAGTACTTTTTGACCACGTAGAGGGGTGGGATAGGGAGGGTGGGAAGGAGATGCAACAGGGAGGAGATATGGGGACATATAGGTATGTATAGCTGATTCACTTTGTTATAAAGCAGGCACTAATACACCATTGTAAAGCAATTATACTCCAATAAAGATGTTAAAAAAAAAATGAGTTGATGCAAAAGTTTTCCAAATATAACGAAAGGTATAAATTTACACATTCAAGATGCTCAAAGCATACCAAGCAGAATAAACATTAAGATGGCTAAACCAATGCATGCGGGATCTTGGTTCCCCAACCAGGGATTGAGCCCATGCCCCCTGTAGTGGAAGTGCAGTCTTAACCACTGGACCACCAGAGAAGTTCCCAACTCCCACTTCTTTAACTTCGAGTTCTAGAAAACTGGTGGAGTGGGAATCCATCAATGTCCTAGAGAAGGCAATACAGGGAATTTCCTGGCAGTCTAGTGGTTAGGGGAAAAAAACAAAAAAGATGGCTAAGCCAAGGCACAATGTACTCAAACTATTTAAAGCCAAAGATCAAAGACAAATCTTGAAAACAAAAAGAGAAAAGCAATATAATACATTCAGGGAAATAATGATTCTGTAATGGCCAACTTCTTATTAGAATCTGTGAAGAACTCAGGGAAATGGAACATCTCTATAGTGTTGAAAGAAAATATTCTTCAAGAATAAAGTCATTTTCAGATAAAATAAAACTAAAAGAATTTGTTGCCAGAAGAGTCATACTACAAGAAAAGCTAAATAAAGTTCTTCAAGCTAAAGGTAAATGATACTAGATAAAAACCCATATCCTCAGAATGGACAGAAGATTATAAGAAATGATAAGTATGTAGTAAATCCAAAAGACATTTTTTCTTACTTTTTCTTCTCAATTTGTTTATAATATATATTACTGTTCAAAACAAAAAATGTTAACATTGCCTTGTGAATTTTATAGCATATGCAGATATAACTATAGCATAAAGGCTTAAAGGAGAGTGGACATACAGATTGCAAAGTTTCTACATTTTATAAAAGTGGTTAATTTAATTGTAAGTGGCGTGTGAAATTTTAAAGATAAATATTTGTAATCCCTAAAGCACTGGTCCTCAACTTTGGGGCCCAGGAGACATTTGGCAATGGCCAGAGACATTTTGGTTTTCCAATTGGTATATCCAGTAGGTTGAGGCCAGGGATGCTGCTAAATATCCTACAATGCACAGGACAACCCACCACAACAAAGAATTATCCAGCCCAAAATAGCAGTAGTGCCACTGTTTGAGAAACACAATTTTAGAGCATGTGCGTGTGCACATGAGCATACACACATCCACACAATAATGACAAGCATAAGTAAAAAGCCAATAAGATTATTGAAATGAATTTCTAAAAAAAAATTCAAATTATTTTTTAAAGTAGCAGGGAAGCTTGATCAAGGAATAAAAATCAGAGAGGAACAATAGAAAATACACAGTAACATGGCAGATAAAAAAACCCATCGTAATTATATGAGTGTCAATGGTCAAAATAATCCAATTTAAAGACAGATTGTCAGATTGAATAAAACAGCAAGGATAGATCCACTTTAAGTGTAAAGACACAAATAGGTTGAAAGTATATGGATAGAAAAAATTAAAAGCTGAACTATGTGAACATTAAGTTCAAGTATGATTGAGTGGCTATATTAATAAAATTTTAAGACAAAAATTTTAAAGAGATAAAAAAAGGAGTATTTCATAATGATAAAAGGTTTAGTACATCAGAAAAGCATAATAATCACAAATGTATATCAAATCATAGAACCTCAAAATACATGAAGCAAAAACAGAATTAAGGGGAGAAATAGGCAATTCCAAAATCATATTTAGATTAACACTGTCTCCTCAGCAGAGGATAAGACAACTAGGTGAAATATAAGCAAAGACATATAGACCTGAAAAACACTATCAACACCTTACCGTAATTGATATTTCTAGAACATTACAGGCAACAGTTACAGAATACACATTGTGTTCAAGTACACATATGGTTTTTCACTGGTATAGATCACATGTTTGACCATAAAACAACTCTCCATAAATTTCAAAAGATGGAAATCATACAGAATATGTTCTGTAACCTTTATGAAATAGAATTAGAAATAAGTAACAAGATATCAAGGTAAACTCCAAATATTTAGAAATTAAATAACACTTCTAAATAATTCATGGGCCAAAGAAGAAATCACAAGAAAAATTAGAAAATATTTAAGACTAGATGATATGAAAATACAGCATATCAAAATTTGTAGGATACAGCAAAAGTGGTGCTTAGAGAGAGATTTATAACTTTAAATTAGAAAAAAAGAAAGAACCAAATCAGTGATCTACCTTTTACCCTATGAAGTTAGAAAAAGCTAATCAAACTTCAAGTAGGTAGAAGAAAGGAAGTAATAATGAGCAGACATCAGTGTAGAAAGTGGACAAACAATTGAGAAAATCAGGGAACCCAAGAGTTGCTTTTAGACTGATCAAAATAAAGAATACAAATCAGGAATAAAATGAGCAGAATCACTACGGATCCTACAGACACTGAAAGGATGATAAGTAAATATTATGGATAATTTTATGACAATAAATTTGACAGCTTGGATGAAACAGGCAAATCCCTTAAAAAACACAAATTACCAAAACCGACCCAAGAAGAAATGTAAAATTATAATAACCTTAAATCAGTGGAAGAAATTGAATTAGTAATTTTAAATCTTCCCTCAAAGATATAGTCCAGGGCTTCCCTGGTGGCACAGTGGTTAAGAATCTGCCTGCAAATGCAGGGGACACGGGTTCGGGCCTTGGTCTGGGAAGATCCCACATGCCGTGGAGTAACTAAGCCCGTGCACCACAACTACTGAGCCTGTGCTCTAGAGCCCATGAGCCACAACTACTGAAGCCCGCGCGCCTAGAGCCTGTGCTCTGCAACAAAAGAAGCTGCCGCAATGAGAAGCCAGCACACTGCAACAAAGGGTAGCCCCCGCTCACTGCAACTAGAGAAAGCCCACACACAGCAACGAAGACCTAATGCAGCCAAAAATAAATTAATTTTAAAAAAAATTATAAAAAAGATATGGTCCAGGCCCAGATATTTTGAGTTCTTGTAAATATTTAAGGAAGAAATAATACCAATTCTGTACAGCTTCTTACAGAAGATAGAAGAGGAGGAAACACTTTTCAGCTATTTTATGAGGCCAGCATTACACTAATCCCCAAACCAGACATTATCAGAAAACTGTAGATCAACATCTTTCTTGAATATACCTGCAAAAATCCTTAACAAATTAGTAACAAATCAATATATATAAACGGTAATACACACACATAATTGGATATCTAAAAATGATATGTCATGATCGATATATTTAAAAGATAATATATCATGATCAAGTGGGGTTTATCTCACAAATGCAAGGTTGGCATATCACCTGAAAAACAATCAGTGTAATTCATATTAATAGAATAAAGGAAAATCATATCATTTTAATAGATTCAGAAAAAGCATTTGACAAAATTCAATATCCATTCATGATAAAAGCTCTCAACAAACTAGGACTAGATTAAAGGTATCTATGAAAAATAAATAGCCAACTTAATACTCTTATGTTGAAAATAGAATAATTTTTCCTTAAGGTCAGGTACAGGGCAAGCATATTCACTCTCACCACTTCTGTATGAAATTCTGTTAGAAGTCCTAGCCAGTGCAGTAGGCAAGTTAAAGGACAAGCACACAGATTAGAAAGGAAGAAGTTAAACCACATACATACCTGATCTATATAGAAAATCCTCAAAAATATACCACCATACTACTAGAACTAATGAGTGAATTTCGTAAGGTTGTAGGATACATGATCAAAATACAAAAATCAATTGTATTTCTATATACTAGAAATGTACACTTGCAGAATGGAATTTAAAAAACAACTCTGATTACAATAGTATCTTAAAAATAAAATATTTAAGAGTAAATTTAATGAAAGATATATAAGACCTGTACACTGAAAACTACAAAGCATTGCTGAGGAAAATTAAAGAAGACAAGTAAATGGAGAGATATACTATGTTCATACATGAGATTTTTCAGTATTGTTAAAGTGGCATGAAATGATGATACAATAACATGGATGAATCTAAAAAATATTTTGCTAATTGAAAGAAATCAGACACAGTAAACTACATATTCTATGATGCCATCTATACAAAATTCTAAAATAGGCCAAACTATAGTGATAGAAACCACTGGAGGAAAGGATTGACTGCCAAGGAGCAGGGATTGTGCTGGTGGAGGTTACGTGACTGGATACAATTGCTAAGACTATCAAAATGCACCATTAAAATGGGTCACTTACTGTATGTAAATTATACTTCAATAAAGCTCTCAATGGGGGATATATATATATATATGTAAAGCGAGAAGAAAATACCATGAAATTTTATCATCAATTGCATTTTGGTGGGTTATGCATATTTTAAATTTTTTCTAAATTAGCCATAGTATTATTATATCAATTATACGTACTTAAAGCTTGGGACTTAACGAAGTAATGTGTCTTACAGATAAGAAATAATGTTTTTATTCAAAAAAGGGCATATTAAGCTATACAGTGAAACAGTGTTTTACTGCATGTTCTACATGTTTAAGATTTTTTTTAAGAGCCTCATGTAAAATAACACAACAAACATATAACGAGTACCTTTTAAAAGTACTTGTTTTGTAAGAATAGGAACATGGATCGAATATGTTTTGGGTATAAGACAACAAATATATGTTTGGACACATTGAGACTGAGACATTTTTAAGACATTCCACTGTAGATATCTGGTAGGTGTCCTAAATATGTTTTGTTTGTTTTGAATTGGCTGAATTATTTTTGTGAAACTTAAAACACAATATTTATTTCAGGAAACTCATTATCTGCAATATTAGAAGGAGAAGCACGGTTAACTTTCTTGAATAGAGGCGAAGATTATGTAATGACAATGCCGTATGCTCATTGTAAAGGTAAATATTTTCCATACTTGAGTTAGGGTTTTTTCAGACCTTCTTTTTAAGTAAGTGTATTTGACTGTAATTTATGTTTTGAGATTGATGTAGTCAGCCTTTTGTTTGAAAGTGTCCTTGGTTTACAGATACTTGAGATCACTGTTATCATCTGCTGAATATTTCTATGATGAATTAATTCACCACAGTGGATTTTTTGTGACACTTACTTTATTTGGAAGAGGCTGATTTATAATAATGGAATTTCATTTGCCTTATCTGCGAGTTGTAAAATTTGATGAAACTGCCCGCTATTTCAGAATCCTCAAAAGTGATTTTTATCTTCTTGCACCACCACCCCTTTTAAAAATTTTAATCACTGCTTTTCATTGTAACAAGTTCTTTAAAATTTTTTCTCATCCTTGTTTGGCAGTTCGTTAAAAATTAATGTATTATACTTTTTCCCCATTATTTAGTATACAAATAAAAGTATTAAATAATAACTATCATTTAAAACAGGCCAGGTACCCAACTATTCTGTGCACTTTACATTTATAAACTCATTTAATCATTCCAGCAGCCCTATAAAGTAGGTAATATTATCCCTGTTTTATGAACAAGGAAGATAAGGCAGAAAGAGGTTAATTTGCCTGAGGTCACACAGCTCTGCAATCTGCACTGCTATGCTATATGGCATCATCTTAAACACTCAGCTTGGTCATTATCTTTACCCTTCTTTCCAACCCATTTCTTAAAAATAACTTTTTAGGGTAACTATCCTCTATTTTAGGAACTGATTCATGAAAACATAGAAATTATTTAATATGACCTCATTTCACAGATGAAAAAACCAGGAGGGTTAAGAATCTTACCTAAAGCCAGACCAGCTAGTTAGTAAGAATGCTGAGACTAAACTCTAGGCTTGTTGACTCCCATCCACTGTGCAGGACTGCCAACTTGTGGCCTCAGGCTAGGTAATTCTTTGAGCTTCATGTGTGGTTCTTGAAATAGACATGAAGTGAAATATCTGAAATCATGAAATGAATTGATGAGAAATATACTTTTAAATTTTAAATAATTTAGAATAAATAAAATGATATTTCGTGTAGAGAGATACCTAATGCCATACCCAAATAGCAACAGGGAAAATTTTTTTTTTCATAGCAGTGTTTTTATTGCACGGAAAAAAGGAGAGATCATAACCCCTTGTGAATGAGGAAATAATTATTTTCTACCTTCGTGTATTTTCTAAGATGTGTTCTCCAAATCACTAATCTCAAATTGTTTTATAAAATAAGAATTCCATAGCCAAATAAATATGAGAAGCATTGCATAGTCTGTTCTTCTCTTGAAAATTAGCATTGTGCATTTGCATCTTAAAGGCTGCAATTGAGTAACCTTTAAAAATTGTATTAAAAAATTTGAAAAAGTTTTAAATCCTATCTAAAATGTTGAGTTTAAAAATCAAATTGGAGAAAGATATGTATAGTATGATTGTGTGCAAAATGAGCTTATGTGGTTTCTATGTATACATAGTAAAAATATACAAACTATGGGAATGATGAACATTGGGGAAAAAAAAAGTTTAGTCCAAGAACAGATACACACACACACACACACACACACACACACACACACACACACACACACACACACACACACACCCTGTTTAATTCGTCAAACTCAGAATTTCCCCAACTGTTTTTAGTCAAGAACCAAAATGCGGAGATTTTTAAATTTATCTTACTTATACAGTTGATTCTTGTTATTTGTAGTACTTACGTCCTATAAAGTCACCACAGACACTGAATTAATGAATATTAAACTGTTGCTCCTAGAGGAAACACATGGTTAGGTTCCTGTGAGCCTCTTGTCACAGCATTTTCATCAACCAATCAAAGCATAACTTTGTTTCTTTTTAGAGACAGCATATTACATATATACTTTTGATTCATTAGCATTGAACTAACAGCCGACAGTACTATAACTCATGCCTGAACCAAGCTTTAACATACATATTTTCTCCATAAAGTACATCACAACCTTCTGTGCTTAGGAACACCAGATAGCACTTATTTGGGGGCCATTGTAAATAGTAAAATCACCAACAAAAAGCACAAAAATGTGGCACTAAATATACTGCAGAAAAGACACTTGTTTACTACATGAGTAATGAAGCCAGAAGTCAAGAGTCTCACCTTGTTTGACTTCAGCTTCAGTGTGCACATTGGACAACAAATATTTCACCACTCTGCACACGTCCATGAATGACTGCAAAAATGCTGTGGGTATTGATTTTGGGATTACTAATATATTTTAGTGAGAATATAAATTTGTAAATATAGACTCTGGAAATAATGTGGATCAACTGTTATCTATTCAAATCCTACAGAACCAACTTTATGTGTATATTATAGATTGTAATTGAGTAGGACAGAATCCTCTTGAATTATTTCTCTTAGAAGATTAGATTATAAAGTTCTACTCGTTATTAGCCATTCTCTCTCTCTCTCTCTTTAACCTTTTGTCAAAATTGTTTTTTTTCTTTAGGAATTCTTTATGGCACAATGACACTGGAGCTTGGTGGAACAGTCAATATTACATGTCAAAAAACTGGATACAGTGCAATACTTGAATTCAAACTAAAGGTTAGTAGAGAATGATAGGAGGTATCATCTAATTAAAGAAGAGCTATACGATGTATATTGAACAAAAAGCATGATTTAGTTTCTAATTAAAAACTAAATATAAGAGCGTAGAATTCATGAAAGGGCAGCCTTGGAAGATCCAAATCAACAGAAAGCCATGATTTGTTGTTTTTAATTTTAATTAATAAAACTGTTGGCACTATAATAGATTTAAGAAGAGGATGAATGGAAATTTCTTAGTAAATTGAAACATTGCTTTATAGAATACCAAAAAGTATGTACCCCCCCCCAAGAAAAGTATGTATCAGATTGAGCTATGCTGTGTACACTAACAGTTTTATTATTTACTATTTCTGCCTAACACTTTACTCTTAAAACTCACGAGCTTAGAAACAGCTATGTTCTGTTCCTTAGGAGTCCTGTGGGCCAGGAATTTGGACAGGGCATATTGGGGATGGCTTATCTCTGCTACATAATGGCTGAGGCAACAGTTAGGAAGACTTTCAGGCTATGAGAGACTCAACAGTTGGGGCCTGGTAACATCTGAAGGCTCATCACTTACATGTCTGATGACATGTAAGTCATCACTTACATGTCTGATGACATGTAAGTCATCACATGTTGGGATGACTGAAAGACTAGGACTGCAGATCTGAGCACCTGTAAACATGACTTTTTCATGTGGTTTGTCTTCCTCACATCATGGTAGTCAGACTTCTTACTTGGCAGCTCAGGGTTCCAAGGACAAGTGTCCTTGTGAGGAAGGCAGAAGCTGCATTGCTGTCCATGACCTAGACTCAGAAATCAAATTACATCATTTCCACCATCCTCTACTAGTTGAAGAGTTACAAACCTACCTAAATTCAAAGGGGAGGGATGCAGACCCCACTTCTCAGTGAGAGGGTGACAGGATCTCATTGAGTAAGAACATGTGGGCTGAAGGAGGAAGGGTAGCTATAATTGAGGCTATCTTTGGAAAATTCTGTCTGCCTCAGCGTAAAAGGGAAATTTAAGACCTTTTCACAGTGTCATTGTTGCTGTGGGATAGTACATTACGTTTAGATAAAAATATTTCTATGAATTATTTAATACTTATGACTAAATTGCTCCTATGTTGATATCCAGCTAATCAGCAACTTTGCTGTAATAAAAAGGATCTCTTTAAGTATTATTTGATTCAATGCCATTTGATTTTTTTTTTCTTAGCAGATTTTTTGCTTGTATGGTGATAATGATATTTGAAAATCATGACTGAAGAGGTCTTAAGTAATTTATGACACCTTTAAAGATTAGATTGGAGCATCAAAATTTTGTCAGTGAGGAGAAACACCAGTAAGGCAATATAGTAACTCAAAATATATTTCTTCTAATTTAATTTTCAGAAGTTTCTTTGATTGGATATTGTTTTATTGTTTTGTTTTTAAAGGAGGGGTTGTATTCAATAGATGAGTTAAGTCCCTTATGTTTACGGAGTTGTTACTGCTTAAAATATTGCAACATTGATAGAGTGCAGTCTTGAATCAGGAGAGAGTGCAGGACAACCAGTTATTTCAGTGTGATCTTTCTTAATATGTTATTTGGGCTTCACATAGTCTGTTTTTATCTATTTTTTCCACAGCAACAAATTTAAATTTCTTTTTATTGAACATTTCTGACTAAAATTTGAGTCAGCATTTCACCATTTGTGCCTTTAACAGCACTGTAACTATACAGTTACTTTTTGGGTTTTTTTTTTGTCTACATTGTATGTAAATATGTTAAAAGTAAAATGTTTCTTCAACATTTTTTCTTTTAAAAGCCATTTCTAGGTAGTAGTGACTGTGTTAATCAAATATCAGGGAAACTAAAATTGGGAAAAGAAGTCCTAGCTACTTTGGAAGGACATTGGGTAAGTATTTTTATACTGTAGCTTTACAAAAAGAATTCTATTCTGTGGGAAAAAAATTAAAAATCAAATTTTATAAGTTCACTTATCCCATTTCTAAAAGCATCACTATTCAACATCAGTTTCAATTTAACAAATATTTTGGTATTGCTCTGTATCAACAGTATTTAGTTTAATGTAATATTTGATCTTTCCAAAACTTTAAATCAGTAAAAGTAGCTAACACTTACATATCACGTACTCTGTACTGCATTGTTTAAAACTGTTACTCATATTAACTCATTTAATATTTAGTATAATAACCCTATGAGATGAGTATTATTATTGTCCCCATTTTACAGAGGAGGACACTGAGGCACAGAGAGTTTAAATAATTTGTTCGAAGTAGTGAAGTAAGATTTCCCCCCAAGCACTCTGGCTCCAATGCCGTGCTTTTACACACAACAGTATACTGCCTCTCACCAGAAGAGGCATTTCCAGTTAGGGTTATATTTTCTTTTGAGGACCATGGAAAAGATACAGTGTTTTTTGAGAGCAATGGCTTTTATTTACTTCTCTGCTGACCTAAATTCATATTTACATAATTTTGTTAAGAGGAGCTTATTATATTAATAAAAAGGATCATATCATGCTACTGCCAAATGCACTCTCACTGTAAACACCGGTATATGCTTTTTTCTGCATTATAATCAGAAAATGATGAGAAATATGATGAGAAAATGAAGATGGACCTAGAGACTCAACTAAGAGGCTACAATGCTCTGTTATTTTTAAAATTTACTTCTATCTGAATATCATTTGGAAAAAACGATAAAACTGTTTTTTAACAAATGAAATTTATAAGATTGTGCTAAGATTTTTAATGCTGAGAAAGGCTCTTAGGTTTTTCTACATATATTGAATACGTAGATGGTCTACAGCATCTCATTGTAGCTATAGCAAACACTATGCTCTACTTTGACAATTCAGAGACAGTTGTTGAGGCTTTTTGCATGTAATTGTCTAAAATTGTCTAAAATAAAATTGTTTATTAAGTGAAACTTCTGAAATCTCACAAACTTCCTCTGCATTCAACCAAGTTTTTAAATGAAAAGTATTAGATATTTAATCTTAATGTTTTTATAAGAATGAAAAGAGATTTGGGGCTTTTAGAAAAGTGCTAGTTATATTTGTTTTAAAAATGTGTTTCACTGTGGGATTGTCAGGAAGAAATTATTATTATATTACTAAACTACAAAATTCCTTTTAAATAAAGATAATTCTCTATATTAATTTTTAATTTTTTAAAATATAGGATAGTGAAGTTTTTATTACTGACAAAAAGACTGATAATTCAGAGGTTTTCTGGAATCCAACACCAGACATTAAGCAGTGGAGATTAATAAGGCACACTGTAAAATTTGAAGAGCAAGGAGATTTTGAATCAGAGAAGTAAGTATACCACTTTTCAGCTCACTTCATGAAAATCAAAGAGAATTTTTTGTAATCCCTCAACAGTATGGTCACTTTTCTCTGTTTTTAACTCAGCAAAATAGTTCAGCATTTGTGGGATGTGACAAGATTTTGTTTTGGTGTATGTGAATGTCAAATAATTATAACACAAATCATGCTGCTCTTCTGCAGCTCTATACTAAACTTCCTATTTTTTCCTTTCTCTTCTTATCTGCTCCAGGGCTTATTTAAAAAAAAAAAAAAAAAAGAGAGAGAGAGAGAGAAGAAGAACAAAAACTTTTTTGTTTGCATAAAATGGTGGGACTAATGATTCTTGGTTTTTATCTGGCAGCTGTTTTCTAACCTGGGTTAGGCATGTAGAACTTTAGGCGAAGTGGTACAAAATCTACTTCTGTTTTACTTTCTAAAATACAAAAATCACGCCACTGGATGTGCAGGCTTCTAAAGGACTTATATTAGTTGGGGACTAATTAAGGCCATAATTTATGTTCTTAAATCATGAAATTCTTCCTGGATCTCCTATACTTTTACACCAAAAATATTGTATACATACTGCCCAATTGTATTCTTCTATTTCTTTCCTTGTGGTAGGAGAAGGGGGTTGCTGTGTAAAAGACACTGTACTAGGTACTTTATACACATTATGCAGTTTAGTTCTCACTACATGTTTGCACATGCATATCATTCTCTTCTCATGAGGATTCAAGTCTACGTGCACTTTCCTTCTATGCTCAAAATTGAGGTTTTCAAAGATGGAAGGTTACATATGCACCAGTTCTAAAAATTCTGTTTCAGCTATAACCACGTGATGCTCTCCATCCAGAGTGAAACTTTGCCAAGGCATACGACAATTTTTGAGATGTGGGTATAATTTAATGTATTTTAAAGATGAGGAAAATGAGTCTTAGACAAGATAAGTAACTTTAAGTTCACCAGCCAAGAAGTGGCAGATCTAGGATTAAACTCAAGTCTATCTGATTCCCTAGCCTTTATTCTTTGAGCCCGACATGCTATCTTCCCAGATGGGTAGAATACAGATATATTTTTAAGTATCTAATAAAACACTAAACTTTAGTAGGGGAAAAGATTTTTACCTCCGTATTTTTTTCTGCTAAATCAATGGCTCTCAACACTGGCTGCACATTAAAATCACCTGGGAAACATTAAAGAAAAAAAAAAAAAAAAAAAAAAACGGCCCACTCCCGGAGATTATGATTTTTTTTTAATTCCCTGACAAATCCTACACCCAAGGTTGAGGAACATGGCAGTATACTTATGGATCTTTGAGGCCAGTGGATCCTAAACAGTATGTACAAGAATCATCTGGGGAGCTTGTTAAAAATGTAGATTCTTGAGCCTTCATTATATTTCTACCATGTGGATCAGCACCACTCACTTCCATATGTTTAAGAACCCATGTAATAAATTTCTCTGGCCAAGAAAAAAAAATTGGTCTCCACTGTCTCACTCTATTCAAGGCATCACTTTTTATATCTTGACTTGTTTCTAAGCATCCAAGCATAAGCTTTCTCAAAGCCAAAAACCCACATGGGCATCATTTTCTGTCAAGGGGAGTCAAGCCTATTCCATGCAGATTTGATTTCCTGTTGTTTTTTTCAATATTATTTTTGCACATGTATTAGACTCTGGCAGCGGGTAACTCGAGCCATAAATGCCAAAGACCAAACAGAAGCTACTCAAGAAAAGTATGTTTTAGAAGAAGCTCAAAGACAAGCTGCCAGAGATCGGAAAACAAAAAATGAAGAGTGGACTTGCAAGTTATTTGAACTTGACTCACTCACAGGAGAATGGCATTACAAGTTTGCAGAGTAAGTAATTAAAAATTATATTACAAACAGTACCTCATAGTTTTTTGCCTTCACTTCTAGTTTTTTTTTTTTTTTTTTTTTAATAACATCTACAGCTTGGCTTGGGTTGTTATTCTTTTTACATTTATTTATTTATTTATTTTTGCTGTGTTAGGTCTTCGTTTCTGTGCGAGGGCTTTCTCTAGTTGTGGCAAGCGGTGGCCACTCTTCATCGCGGTGCGTGGGCCCCTCACTATCGCGACTTCTCTTATTGCGGAGCACAGGCCCCAGACGCACAGGCTCAGTAGTTGTGGCTCATGGGCCCAGTTGCTCCACGGCACATGAGATCTTTCCAGACCAGGGCTCGAACCCGTGTCACCTGCATTGGCAGGCGGATTCTCAACCACTGTGCCACCAGGGAAGTGCGCTAGTTTTTTTTATTGTTAGTATGAATAGTTTTTAAATTAAACAGTATGTGTGAGATTTTACCCTTGATGTTCCATTCATTATAAATTTGACTCCATGGTAGTAGTTAGCCTATAAAATAAGCTGAGGATCAGAAGATTAGATATGACATATCTTAATCTTACAGCTAAGTTTATAATTACCAATGAAAATCTAATCATAGAGTAGAAAGTTTTTTAAAAAGCTTCTGAGCGTTTTGCTTAGTCATTAAACAAGTGGTCTTTTTTAATTTATGTAGTACTCGACCATGGGATCCACTTAACGATATGATACAGTACGAAAAAGATGGTGTTATCCAGACCAAAGTGAAACATCGCACTCCAATGGTATGTAATAAAAGAGTAACTAGATCCTGCTCTGCATATAAATTTTTTAAATTCGTAGTATCTTTGGTTACCAACCTTTAAAATTTGGCTCCACAATTTAAAATTTCAGGTCAGAAAAATGATACAGTAGGCAGCTCCAAGCTATTGTGCCCCCAAAGAAACATAAAAAATCAAGCAGAAACTGTCATAACCAAATTTGCCTGAACAATGGAAAACAGTCAGAGGTTTGCAGCAACTAAGTGAGAGCTGAATCAAGAATCAGGTGACTTCAAAGCAGCGAGAAGGCTTCATGGCATTTTTACTTGCTCTTGTCCTAATGCCTCCCTGGTGCAGTGGCAGTCTTGAAGGGTCCCCACATTCCCAGTGTGAGCCCTGGTTCCACAGGAAGTACAGTAGACCTTGTTAACAAATTGTTGTGTATTTCTTTTTTTTTTTAACATCTTTGTTGGAATATAATTGCTTTACAGTGGTGTGTTAGTTTCTGCTGTATAACAGTGAATCAGCTATACATATACATACATCCCCATATCTCCTCCCTCTTGCGTCTCCCTCCCACCCTCCCTTTCCCACCCCTCCAGGTGGACACAGAACACCGAGCTGATCTCCCTGTGCTATGCAGCTGCTTCCCATTAGCTATCTGTTTTACATTTGGTAGTGTATATAAGTCCATGCCACTCTCTCACTTCATCCCAGCTTACCCTTCCCCCTACCCGTGTCCTCAAGTCTGTTCTGTATATCTGCGTTTTTATTCCTGTCCTGCCCCTAGTTCTTCAGAAACTTTTTTTTTTTATATTCCATAAAGATGTGTTAGCATACGGTATCTGTTTTTCTCTTTCTGACTTACTTCACTCTGTATGACAGTCTCTAGGTCCATCCACCCCGCTACAAATAACTCTATTTCATTTCTTTTTATGGCTGAGTAATATTCCATTGTATATATGTACCACATCTTCTTTATCCATTCATCTGTTGATGGACACTTAGGTTGCTTCCATGTCCTGCCTATTGTAAATAGAGCTGCAATGAACATTATGGTACATGACTCTTTTTGAATTATGGTTTTCTCAGGGTATATGCCCAGTAGTGGGATTGCTGGGTCATATGGTAGTTCTATTTATAGTTTTTTAAGGAACCTCCATACTGTTCTCCATAGTGGCTGGATCAATTTACATTCCCACCAACAGGGCAAGAGGGGTCCCTTTTCCCCACACCCTCTCCAGCATTTATTGTTTGTAGATTTTTTGATGATGACCATTCTGACCGGTGTGAGGTGATACCTCATTGTAGTTTTGATTTGCATTTCTCTAATGATTAGTGATGTTGAGCATTCTTTCATGTGTTTGTTGGCAATCTGTCTATCTTCTTTGGAGAAATGTCTGTTTAGGTCTTCTGCCCATTTATGGATTGGGTTGTTTGTTTTTTGATATTGAGCTGCATGAGCTGCTTGTATATTTTGGAGATTAATCCTTTGTCAGTTGCTTTGTTTGTAAATATTTTCTCCCATTCTAAGGCTTGTCTGTCTTGTTTATGGTTTCCTTTGCTGTACAAAAGCTTTTAAGTTTCATTAGGTCCCATTTGTTTATTTTTGTTTTTATTTCCGTTTCTCTAGGAGGTGGGTCAAAAAGAATCTTGCTGTGATTTATGTCATGGAGTGTTCTGCTTATGTTTTCCACTAGAGTTTTATAGTGTCTGGTCTTACATTTAGGTCTTTAATCCATTTTGAGTTTATTTTTGTGTATGGTGTTAGGGAGTGTTCTAATTTCATTCTTTTACATTTAGCTGTCCAGTTTTCCCAGCACCACTTATTGAAGAGGCTGTCTTTTCTCCATTATATACTCTTGCCTCGTTTATCAAAGATAAGGTGACCATATGTGCTTGGGTTTATCTCTGGGCTTCCTATCCTGTTCCATTGATCTATATTTCTGGTTTTGTGCCAGTACCATATTGTTTTGATTACTGTAGCTTTGTAGGATAGTCTGAAGTCAGGGAGCCTGATTCCTCCAGCTCCGTTTTTCTTTCTCAAGATTGCTTTGGCTATTCGGGGTCTTTTGTGTTTCCATGCAAATTGTGAATTTTTTTGTTCTAGTTCTCTGAAAAATGCCATTGGTAGTTTGATAGGGGTTGCCTTGAATCTGTAGATTGCTTTGGGTAGTATAGTCATTTTCACAGTGTTGATTCTTCCAATCCAAGAACAAGGTATATCTCTCCATCTGTTTGTATCATCTTTAATTTCTTTCATCAGTGTCTTATAGTTTCTGCATACAGGTCTTTTGTCTCCTTAGGTAGGTTTATTCCTAGGTATTTTATTCTTTTTGTTGCAATGATAAATGGGAGTGTTTCCTTAATTTCTCTTTCAGATTTTTCATCATTAGTGTATAGGAAGCCAAGAGATTTCTCATCATTAATTTTGTATCCTGCTACTTTACCAGATTCATTGATTAGCTCTAGTAGTTTTCTGGTAGCAGCTTTAGGATTCTCTGTGTATAGTATCATGTCATCTGCAAACACTGACAGTTTTACTTCTTCTTTTCCGGTTTGGATTCCTTTTATTTCTTTTTCTTCTCTGATTGCTGTGGCTAAAACTTCCAAAACTATGTTGAATAATAATGGTGAGAGTGGGCAACCTTGTCTTGTTCCTGATCTTAGATGAAATGGTTTCAGTTCTTCACCATTGAGGACGATGTTGGCTGTGGGTTTGTCATATATGGCCTTTATTATGTTGAGGTAAGTTCCCTCTATGCCTACTTTCTGGAGGGTTTTTATCATAAATGGGTGTTGAATTTTGTTGAAAGCTTTTTCTGCATCTATTGAGATGATCATATGGTTTTTCTCCTTCAATTTGTTAATGTGGTGTATCACATTGATTTATTTGCATATATTGAAGAATCCTTGCATTCCTGGGATAAACCCCACTTGATCATGTTGTATGACCCTTATAATGTGCTGTTGGATTCTTTTTACTAGTATTTTGTTGAGGATTTTTGCATCTATGTTCATCAGTGATATTGGCCTGTAATTTTCTTTCTTTGTGACATCTTTGTCTGGTTTTGGTATCAGGGTGATGGTGGCCTCATAGAATGAGTTTGGGAGTGTTCCTCCCTTTGCTGTGTTTTGGAAGAATTTGAGAAGGATACATGTTAGCTCTTCCCTAAATGTTTGATAGAATTTACCTGTGAAGCCATTTGGTCCTGGGCTTTTGTTTGTTGGAAGATTTTTAATCGCAGTTTCAATTTCAGTGCTGCTTATGATTGGTCTGTTTATATTTTCTACTTCTTCTCGGTTCAGTCTTGGATGGTTGTGCTTTCTTAAGAATTTGTCCATTTCTTGCAGATTGTCCATTTTATTGGCATAGACTTGCTTTTAGTTATCTCTCAGGATCCTTTGTATTTCTGCAGTGTCAGTTGTTACGTCTCCTTTTTCATTTCTAATTCTATTGATTTGAGTCTTCTCCCTTTTTTTCTTGATGTCTCTGGCTAATGGTTTATCAATTTTGTTTATCTTCTCAAAGAACCAGCTTTTTAGTTTTATTGATCTTGCTATCATCTCCTTCATTTCTTTTTCATTTATTTCTGATCTGATCTGTATGATTTCTTTCCTTCGGCTAACTTTGGGGTTTTTTTGTTCTTCTTTCTCTAATGGCTTATGTGTAAGGTTAGGTTGTTTATTTGAGATGTTTCTTTTTTCTTGAGGTAGGGTTGTGTTGCTATAAACTTCCCTCTTAGAACTGCTTTTGCTGTATCCTATAGGTTTTGGGTCATCGTGTTTTTATTGTCATTTGTTTCTAGGTATTTTTTGATTTCTTCTTTGATTTCTTCAGTGATCTCTTGGTTATTTAGTAGTGTATTGTTTAGCCTGAATATCCTTGTATTTTCTATGGATGTTTTCCTGTAATTGATATCTAGTGTCATAGTGTTGTGGTCGGAAAAGATGCTTGATACGATATCAATTTTCTTAAGTTTACCAAGGCTTGATTTGTGACCCAAGATATGATCTATGCTGGAGAATGTTCCATGAGCACTTGAGAGGAAAGTGTAATCTGCTGTTTTTGGATGGAATGTCCTATAAATATCAATTAAGTCCATCTTGTTTAATGTATCATTTAAAGCTTGTGTTTCCTTATTTATTTTCATTTTGGATGATCTGTCCATTGGTGAAAGTGGGGTGTTAAAGTCCCCTACTATGATTGTGTTACTGTCGATTTTCCCTTTTATGGCTGTTAGCATTTGCCTAATGTATTGAGGTGCTCCTATGTTGGGTGCATAGATATTTACAGTTGTTATATCTTCTTCTTGGATTGATCCGCTGATGATTATGTAGTATCCTTCTTTGTCTGTTATAATAGTCTTTATTTTAAAGTCTATTTTGCCTGATATGAGAATGGCTACTCCAGCTTTCTTTTGCTTTCCATTTGCATGGAATATCTTTTTCCATCCCCTCATTTTCAGTCTGTATGTGTCCCTAGGTCTGAAGTGGGTCTCTTGTAGACAACATATATATGGGTCTTGTTTTTTTTATCCATTCATCCCATCTATGTCTTTTGGGGGGAGCATTTAATCCACTTACATTTAATGTAGTTATTGATATATGTATGTTCCTATTACCATTTTCTTAATTGTTTTGGGTCTGTTATTGTAAGTCTTTTCCTTCTCTTGTGCTTCCTGCCTAGAGAAGTTCCTTTAGCATTTGTTATAGAGCTGGTTTGGTGGTGCTGAGTTTTCTTAGCTTTTGCTTGTCTGTAAAGCTTTTAATTTCTCTGTCAAATCTGAATGAGATACTTGCTGGCTAAAGTAATCTTGGTTGTAGGTTTTTCCCTTTCATCACTTTAAACATGTCCTGCCACTGCCTTCTGGCTTGTAGAGTTTCAGCTGAGAAGTCAGCTGTTAATCATATGAGGATACCCTTGTTTGTTATTTGTTGCTTCTCCCTTGCTGCTTTCAATATTTTTTCTTTGTATTTAATTTTTGATAGTTTGATTATTATGTGTCTTGGCCTGTTTCTCC